ACACTTTTAACATGCAATTTGGAAAGAAAATTTGATGAATATCTTTATTATCAAGTCACTTCTAGGATATACTGAATACTATTCGAACAATTAATGTTGTCCAACTGACACCAGCTTAAGCCAGTCCAACTACCTTAAAAGTGTACAAATTAAAGTGTAGTAGTCAGATAAACACAATAGAAAACGAAAGAATTCGAGTGAAAGGGCAAACAAAAAAATTAGTGTGTTTCCTGTTGCATGAGAAAAATGATTGGTGTCGGTACATGTAGATCAGATGTTTTTACTGATACAACAGTGGAAATGAGCTTACTGGGAACCCTGTGGTGCATTTGGGAATGAAAAAAATATTAGGGTTGGGAAAAATTGGCAAGAAAATCACGGTCGGTCACGCAACAGGAGACACACCTTTTTTGGGCCTAAGGTTTACACCTGTATTTCAGGGGTTTATGAAAACCACTCTTCCACCAAGATTATTCAGAACAATAAAACATTCTGATTACTCACTCAGCTATACAATATGTTTATGCCTGTTTTATCATTTCCTTAATAGTATTGCTGTGTACGATCTTGGTGGTGGAACATTTGATATCTCAATCCTTGAAATCCAGAAAGGTGTCTTTGAAGTCAAAGCAACTAATGGCGACACGTACCTTGGTGGAGAGGACTTTGATAATACCCTCCTAACATTCCTGATCTCTGAGTTCAAGAAAGAGGTAAAGATGTAAACCCAAGTTAGAAGCCTTCTAATGCTGTATCTATAGATCCCTTGCAGGATACAGTGTACAGTTGTATTCCCAATACAGCCCATTTCAGAGGACAACAAAACAGTGAAATTTTACTCTTGAGTAACCATAACTGCAGGATTGTCAATAAAATTTTTGGTAGGCGGTTKTGAAATTGAAATAGGCGGTAAACCGGAAATCACTTGAGCATGTAATCAAGGCATACTTGTCACCAGTCTCACTCTTCTCACAAAAATTCAAGATGGCAGACAACGATCATTGAAGTTTCAATTGCGTTGCAGTTTTCGTAGTACAGCAACAAAGATTGGGTTAAAATTGATTTTTATTGACACATTTTTCTAGTTTAAAGAACTTTAATCAAGATTTACGATTACATTGGGAAGTGGCTAAGTAGGCGGCTGAGTTAGTGAGAGAATTGGGAATAGGCGGGAGTAGACGGCAGAATTAGCAAGAGTAGATGGCGGAATCTGCCAGTTGCCGGCTTCTATTGACAACCCTGTAACTGACTCTCTTAGTAACCAAATGCCTCATCTAATTAGCAATGTGCATGAATAGATCAATGAAAAGTCATTGTTTTGTCCTCCAAATAGAGTGGAGGAGAGAATTTGCAGTCAATAACCTAATCTTGGCAAGTTTCCCATGCATGCCGTACTGCATCAGTAGATTGTTTGTACTGTATAGTATTTCTACTAGAAATTTGCCATGCTTGAACAAGTCTGAAATGTATACAGTACAGCCCAGATGTATGTCACGGTAACGCGCATGTAACACGCGTGCACTCGTAACCAGTGTAGTCCGTCCATCCGYGTGTAGTCCACTCTAAAAACTCGGCAAAACTACACGCAGCCCAATAGCTCATTAACTTCAATCTGATATATATATGTATATCATCATTTGAGCTGGGTGTTGTCTGTTGTAAATATAGAATGTACACTTGAATGTATGGATAGAGTATGTGGAGCAAATCTCATCAAAGAGCCCATCAGGGGAGTGATGGTGGAAACTAGGTGTTGTACGTGTACTGTACCTCTGTCACAAGAGGGGAAAAATAATTTTTGTGTCTACATAATCAGCATTTAGAGACAGCAGCAGTGCATTTCACCCACTAAATTAGAAATTTGATTGACTGATATAAATGCCCAGGTATCTCTGGTGCATATTTAATTTTGCTACAATAATTTTTTTGCATTTGCTTTCAGAGTGGAGTTGACCTTTCTAAAGACAGCATGGCTCTTCAGAGGCTTAGAGAGGCTGCTGAAAAAGCTAAAATAGAGTTGTCATCCTCAGTACAGGTAATTTGGTTCTCTAAAATGAGATGGTTAAAGTAAATTAAAATATAAATGTATTGTCCTTGTCTTGTGAAGGTAGCACTTAAAAACCAGTGGCTAACAAATGTGTGTTTTCTCTTCCATGATTGCATTGAACTCTAGAAGTTATTTAGGATTGTGCATCTTGTCCCACAAACAATGAAGAATATGTAATATTGGATAACAGAATATATATATATACGTATATATATATATATTTGACTTTTGTTGTTACCTAATTGTGGTCATTTTGGCAGTATTTATTTWAAAAAATATTTCTTATTCGCCTCTCTTTAATCTTTCATCGCCACCAGCATTGCCACAGTGTCTTTCAGGCCCCGTCCACACGTCTCCAGAAATGTTTGTATCCGCAAATTATTTTTTGTGGATACCAAAAATGTTTGCGTTCACACGCAGCGTATTCGAATCGTTTTCACCATCCACACGTATCCGTATCYGTAAAAAAAGAATTGCGGATACAAAAATTTGCGGATACGTGTGGACGGGGCCTCAATTGACTATGTACAAACAGTCATTGCGACACTAAAAGTAGCCCTAAATTTCACATGAATTTCTGTATATTTTCATTCTACAGACAGATATTACCCTACCATACATAACCATTGATGCCAGTGGACCAAAACATATGAACCTGAAGCTCACAAGAGCCAAGTTTGAGTCTCTTGTTGGTGACTTGATGAATAGGACAGTAGGACCATGTAATAAATGTCTACAAGATGCCGAGATCAGTAAGAGTGATATTGGAGATGTGTTGTTGGTTGGAGGAATGACCAGAATGCCAAAGGTATATATGTATTATATACATTATTAACTAACTTACAGTATGTGCACTCTAATTGGTCAAGAAATGTGCATTAATAGTTGTAACAAAGGAGATCTGACATTCATGGAGGCAGGTCAGCCTTACTTAAGAAATAAAACATCATTATTTGTACTGCGTTTAGAAACTTACAATACTCGGTAAGTTCTGAAAGCACATAAGAAGTGTGAAGACAAGCACAAGCCATACTTTATTTTTAAAAAGAAACAAATTTGCAGTTCTTTCTGCTCTTTTCTTTCACTTCTTAGTAAAGAAGGCTGCATGTGCGTGGATGGCATCAGCAACATGCTTTATTCACTGATACAGCACAGTTTTCAAACAGTCAGAGTGTGCGTAGTGACACAGCTAAGTACAGGGTTTGTGCTACTCCTTAAACTCCTTAAACTCCTTGAAAACTCCTTGAATATGATTCACTTTTTCAAGGGCACTTGAAAAGCACTTGAATTTTACGATTTTAGGGAAACTGCTTGAATTTTTGCTTTGATCATTACTTGCATGGTTCTGAAATAGATCTAGTCAGAAAGAT